TGTTCCTGACTCTGAGGACAGCGTTCCTCACTCTGAGTAAAGCGTTCCTCACTCTGAGGGCAGCGCACAGGGGGTCCAACTAAGAGCTGTGTTATGAAATATGAATAAAACATTAATTAAACGTAATATGAATAAAACATCATAACGTAATATATTTAAATTATTGCACTTACTTGTATAAATCATAAGAGCTTGTATTTGCAGTGAATAGCTTTTAACAGGGCGCTTATACACGCTCAGAAAATCGCTCAGAACCACTTGATTCGAACGATTGTTCAAATATGGCGAATAAATTGACAAAACGAAAATATTACATGACGTTCCAACGAAAATAACAGCAAGGATTGCGGGCGTGAGCGGAAGGCGAGGGTAATAGATATTAATAGAAGGGATGAAACACCGGTAATGCGATCGTGTGATGTGTTCCATAAGTAGCCTGTTCTCTCGGAAAATTCCAAAATGCCTCCTGCCAACTCCAACAACGCCTACGCGCTTAATTAATGAAAATAAACAATGTTTAGCTATACCGGCTAATATGAAATGTTTAAATGTAGCGCCCAACGGTTTTTTTTACATTATTTAGTTTTATTATTATTTCGTCATACGTCACGAGAACAGGCTACTTATGGAACACATCTCGCGATAATGGCCAAGAATGCTCGCTGTTATAAATCACATAAATTAGATTGATCAGTGCTTTTTTAGTAATGACTAGGCTTGTTCATGTAAGAGAACATCGACTGAGCCTTAAAACCCCCACAAAAAGCTTAAACGGGTAGTCTAGAAGCATTTTAAAAAGTCACGTGATATTTGTTTCATCCCTTCTATTTATTTCTTCCCTCGCCTTTTCGCTTGCTTGCGCGCCCGCAATCCTTGCTGTTACTTTCGTTGGAACGTCATGTAATATTTTCGTTTTGTCAATTTATTCGCCATATTTGAACAATCGTCCGAATCAAAATGTTTCTGAGCGATTTTCTGAGCGTGTATAAGCGCCCTGTTAAAAGCTATTCACTGCAAATACAAGCTCTTATGATTTATACAAGTAAGTGCAATAATTTAAATATATTACGTTATGATGTTTTATTCATATTACGTTTAATTAATGTTTTATTCATATTCATAACACAGCTCTTAGTTGGACCCCCTGTGGCGTTTGCTCGAATTTCCATGGTTTTCCAAAATTTTGGGGGGCAGTTGCCCCCTCCCCCCGCCCCCCTGTCTCGTACGCCTATGTCAATAAGGCATTTACAACATGAACATAATACGAAGCCAAAGTGAAAGTGTGAAAGTGAAAGAAACTTTAAAGAAAGCGTGCTAATTCTCGTATTTTACTCGTATGTACTCGTATTTTACTCATATGTACTCGTATTTTACTCATATGTACTCGTATGTACTCGTATTTACTCGTATGTTACTCGTGTGTACTCGTATGTTACTCGTGTGTACTTGTATGTTACTCGTGTGTTACTCGTATGTACTCGTATGTTACTCGTATGTACTCGTATGTCACTCGTATGTACTCGTATGTACTTGTGTGTTACTCGTATGTTACTCGTATGTACTCGTGTGGTGTTTTAGTCACGATCTAGTGAGTTTTTCAAAGACCTCAAAATAGCACGAGTCCGAAGGACGAGTGCTATTTGAGGTCTTTGAAAAACTCACGAGTGCATGTTTCTCCAAATTTCACGAGAAACCATGCTATTACTTATTAATAATTTACATAAAAATGTTCGAGACAATTGTAATTTTAACTTACGCGTTTATAGCGAACATTCCACCGACAAACTTTTCCTGGCTTTGTTATATCACATTATGCAACGCTAACAGCTTGAAAATTCCACTCAACTATGTAATTCTTGTTAGTCCTGTTTAAGGTCAATGCTTTTCCATTTAAAAATAAAGATAAAAGCCATATTTTTCACGCGAAAGCACTTTTACTTTACTGTAGCGCGGCGCCATGTTTGTTTTGTTTTGAAGCAATCTGTGACCGTTACTTCTTTAAACTAAATTGCTTTAAACTGATTGGTTGATTTAATCATCACAATGTTTTTCCACCAATCAGATCAGTTTGTTACAGATTTTTGCACTGTGATTACAGAAAATTGCACTGTGATTACAAAAAATTGCACTGTGATTACAGAAAATTGCACTGTGATTACAGAAAATTGCACTGTTGTTTGGGATTAACTGCATTGAAATCAACCAATCACAGTCGAGTAATATCTTTATGTATATTATTATTGCATGAACCAAAGTCCAAAGAGACAAATATAACAGCATTCAACACTGAACAGATTTATATAACAATATATATCGCTATCTTACATCATATAAAATAATGTAAATAATATTTAGCTAAAATCCTTTCGTTTTTAATATCAATTCTATTATAACACATGTATATCATATTAAAAGTGACTCATATTATTAAAGTTAACAGACTCAGTCAGTATCTTAATTAAAATAAAGGTTAAAAAGCGCCTATTAAGTATGTTTAAAGAAAAAGATTACCTTCATGTGGCTGTCTTTACTCCGTCTGGTCCATATTGTCACGGAAATTGGGCACAAAATGCACAAAAACGTTTAAAAACTACATTTCTAAACTAAATTTCAGAAATCGACAATTTGTTGTCACTTATCGAACAAATTCTCCCAGGCGCCTCCCGTTCCAGTTGCGTCCTCCCCAAGCACCCCCGCACGCTCGCTCATCTTAGCCACTGATCTATATAAAAGTACTGTAGTGTGCCTATTTTTAGTTAATTGCGCCTGGGTACGAGGCTGCTCGGCAACTATGGTATTTAGGGATGGGCGATACCAGCTTTTTCATTCGATACGATATTTCCTCGATATTTGCCCTTTTTTTTCGATATCGATATCGATATCGATATTTTCCCAACTCGAACAACCACAACAACAAAAGACTATTTTTAATCATTGGCAACGGCAACGACGCTAACAATAATATAAACATTAAATAATAAAATGACTACATTAAATACTGTTTTCAAATGTGCCAATTAATGCAAATAACTTAAAGTCTAAAACGTTCTAACATGTCCCATAAGCAGTACTTTCTCAATTCTCACTCTCAACTACCTAAGTTTATTTAGATAGTAAAGTTTTAAAGTTTACATGTTCTTATTTAAAAACAATAACATATCAACATTTTTAGACTTAAGCCTATTTCGTCGGATTGAAATAAGTTCTCCTGCTTTCGAAAAGAGCCTCTCCGCTGGGACAGATGTAGCAGGAATACAAAGATATTTCTTTGCAAGATTGGAGAGAATCTTGTAATCTTTCTCATTTTCTTTCCACCATGTTAGTGGATCTTTATCTCTTGCTAGGAGTTTATCATCAAAGAATCTTGTAGACTCCCTCTCTATAGTGAGGGTTGAAGTTGCTCGCAGTTGTCTATTTGCAACTTTTTTATCGAAAAGATCCCATAAGCCGACATCTCGTTGTTCTGTTACTTCTGTCTGTTCATCAGTGGGAACTGCAGGAACATGTTGTTTCATCTCTTCGACAATCCATTGCTCCCCCTGTCGCGCAGCTACAAAACTAGAAAAGGCCAGCTTCTTCATGCGTGGGTCAAGCAAAGTGGAATGGGCTAGCAAATGGACATTTTCCACGCCTGTAAAACGTCGACGCAGTTGAGCACTCATCTCAGAAGCAAGGGTTGTATCTTTGTGGATACTTGCTGAGGTTAAATGCTGGAGGGACTTTGCAAGGGGTATAGCCTTTGAGATTGAGATATATTGATCGGCTGATATCTCTGTTGTGGCGCGCTCAAACGGCTTCAAAATAGCCACTGCAGCTTTGAGCACTTCCACATCCGAGATAGAGAGGCATAGATCATTGCGATTCGAGAGACAAAGTGTGGTCGTAACGGCTTCGTGCTGCTCAATGATGCGTTCGAACATGTAGAATGTAGAATTCCACCTTGTATCCACTTCCTGGACGAGCTTGTGGTCAGGAACTTGTGCTTGAGCTTGGATCTCCTTCAGCTTATCCGTGGCTTTTGTGCTCTGATGAAAGAATGTTACAATTTGTCTGCATCTCTTTCTTATACCGTTAATCAGATCAGTCTTGATTGCTTCCGAGACTACGAGGTTCAGGGTGTGTGCGAAGCATTTGACATGTTTCCAACCAGTTATTCGAACTGCAGCAACAATATTCGCAGCGTTATCTGTTACCATTGCAACAACTTTCTCTGATATCTCCCATGATTTTGCAACTCTCAGAAATGATGCAGCGATATTCTCAGCAGTGTGGCTTGATTTGAATGCGAAAGTCTCAAGAACCCGCGATTGAAGCACCCATGAAGAAGTAAGATAGTGGCAAGTAACGGTGAGATAGCTCTCTGTCGCTCTTGATGTCCATAGGTCACTCGTGAGAGCAACATGTGATATCTGCTCAAGCTCCTGCTTAATCTCTTTAACTCGTTTAGAATACATATCAGGTAGCATTCGTGTCATGGTTCTTCTGGACGGAAGCTTGTATCGAGGATCCAATAAATGTAGCAATGATTGAAACCCTGCATCTTCCACAACAGATAGAGGTTGAAGGTCTGATGTAATCATTTTCAACACCGCGTCGTCAATCTTCCTGCGTCGTGTGCACGTGGATGAGTATTTTCCATGTAGCATGGTATCTATGATTGTTGTTTGTTTTTTTGTTTTACTAGATTGCTTCTTTGCATTGCCATTGTTTTCTTCATCTAATTTTCTTTTCTTTTCAGCTCCTTTGTATTGCTCTTGATGTTTCAGCTTTAAATGCTAAAAAAATTCGAAACCGTTATAAATAGTACCCAAAATAACGTTTTAGTAGTTCAGGAATTAAGTTTAAGTTGTAAAGCTACGAATCTCTACAATCAATCGCCCAGTTACCTTGAAAAGGTTAGACGTGTTGCTGCCATGTTTAACGTTTTCAGAACAGATGCTGCACTTCGATGCTCCCGTTGTATTTGCGGTATCTGTTAGTTTTCGGAAATAATCCCAAACAGCACTTCTCTGACGCTTGTTATCAACAGCGGCGTAATTGGCGTCAGCGTCAGCCGAGTCACCTTCTTCCAAGATTTCTAACGCTTCTATAGAATTAACAATTGTTTCAACTAATATGGTACGGAGAACATTGTGCTCGGATTTAATGTTTGCATATTGAAAGCTTAGCCTAGCGTATGTGTTCTTGGACATAAGAAAATACTAGAACTGAAAGTCTAATTAAAATTGCAAATTACCTTCAAGTTCGATCATCTCTTCAACGACAAAATGGCAAAATCACGCTGGTAAGGTTAAATACGTTTTCAACACGTTTATTTTCAAGTATATACTTCATGTTATGGAGCTATAGTGGATCCTCATGACGAGTCCGCTGACCAAAATGAGAAAATATCGCAGGCTCAGAAGTATCGAAACAATCGATATTTCTTGCCAGTATCGATACTTTTCTTCAAAGCCCTGGTATCGATAGTATCGAGTATTTGGTATCGATATCGGCCCATCCCTAATGGTATTACAAAGTAATAGCATGGCATTACGGTCGATTAGTATAGGTAATAGCAAGGTTTCGAGTGCAATTTGGTAATAGCAAGGTTTCGAGTGCAACTTTTCAAAGACCTCAAAATAGCACGAGTCCGAAGGACGAGTGCTATTTGAGGTCTTTGAAAAACTCACGAGTGCATGTTTATCCAAATTTCACGAGAAACCATGCTATTACTTATTAATAATTTACAAAAAAATTTTCGAGACAATTGTAGTTTTAACTTACGCGTTTATAGCGAACATTCCACTGGCAAAGTTTTCCTAGCTTGAAAATTCCACTCAACTGTGTATTTTTTGTTAATCTTGTTTAAGGTAAATGCTTTTCCATTTAAAAATAAAGATAAAAGCCATATTTTTCACGCGAAGGCAACTTTTACTTTGTGTAGCGCGGCGCCATGTTTGTTTTGTTTTGAAGCAATCTGTGACCGTTACTTCTTTAAAACTAAACTGCCTTAAACTGATTGGTTGATTTAATCATCACAATGTTTTTCCACTAATCAGATCAGTTTGTTACAGATTTCTGCACTGTGATTACAGAAAATTGCACTGTGATTACAGAAATTGCACTGCTGTTTGGGATTAACTGCACTGAAATCAACCAATCACAGTCGAGTAATATCTTTATGTATATTATTAGTGATGAAATGTCCCTGAAGCCTCGAGAGGTTTACTAAACCTCTCTCGGCTTTCGGGTACATTTAACATTGAACTAAAATATATGGAACGCTACCTTAACTGAACATGCCCAGACTTGCCTGAAGCCAGATTTTACCTCCAGACACGCGTGTCTGGAGGTAAAATTCACGCGCGTTGTCGCGTTTCCTGCGTGGCGCCGAAGAACAGCGACAGCCAACCAATGCAACATGCATTATAGCAACATGTGATTGAAAATGTTTTGAAAAGGAAGGTACTTCTCTTGTTATTGAGGCTATCGGTTAAATTTTCATTCAATACAGTACGAATCATAACTTTTCATACGTGTATTCGATCGATAAATCAGGCAAATGAAACATTTTTTCGTTCAAATTGAATGTATACACAAAGGACATGGGTCAGAGATTCAGAGTAGCATTGTAAAGTTGTAAACACGTAAGTGCTTTTACTAAATTTATTAAATATGCATGAAGCTCAATCGCATCTGCAACAGAGTAACTGAAATTGTATGTGATTTGAGGACAGTTTGTTTGCCAGGTTCAACCCTTCTTGTTCTTGAATATTCTCACAAAGACAAAGGATGTCCGAGCCGAGGGGGGGAGGGGGGTTTGGAAAATCAGGACAAACTCGGACATAGGGGGGGGAGGGGTTTTTTTTAGCAATCCGGATGTCCGAAATTTAAAAAAATTCAAAAACAAATTTCTTTTTCCCTCTATTTTGAGCAGTCCTTCCCATTGTGAAATTGGCATTTTGACTATGCGGTTAACACTAGATTTTGTTTTAATTAGTAATTTATATGTTTTTGTGTTCACATTTACAGTTATAAAAAAGTTCTAAAAGTAAAAAAAGATTTTTACTCTTGATATATACAAGGTTGCGTGAGTTTTTGCGAGGCATGGCGGATGTCCGGGGGGAGGGGGTCACTAATTCGGACAATGCCGGACAAGGGGGGGAGGGGGGGTCTGAAAATCCATCATTTGGCCGGACATCCTTTGTGAATGGCCCCTTGTTGAATTCTTAAAAAAGCTTTTGATCGATTCATAGTTACCAGAAAATTCGCAACCCAGTGTTTCGAATGTACTAATGTTAACAGCTGTGCCATCAGCTGTTACTGACCACACTTTTAGATTAGCATTTGCAGCTTTTTCAAGACACTTTTTACCAGTGTGGATTGGTCCATTAAAGGCATTCATTTTATCAGCCAAGAAGTATCCCCTTGGACATTTCCAATAACTTCTGGTGCCTACCAGAAGAAAAAACAAAGCTTCTGTGACCAATTTTTCTAAATGTTCATTAGGAATCTCATTTCCAAAGTCTACAAATCCATAGGAGACTTTTTCTGGATTTCAAATGGTTTGTTTTCGGATAGACATTGCATTGCGTCTATTATCAAACAGTAATCTTTGTCAGTATTTGATTGGGCTAAGCTCGGCTGATAATGCTTACCTCAACCGCAGAATACTACACAGAAATCCATCTCCATTGTTTTTTGCATAAGCGTTATTCGTCACGATTCGTCACTCAGCAAGTACCGTAAACAGAAGCAGTCACCCCCTGGACATGCACCATTTTTAGTATTTCCAGGGAGGACTGCTTCTGTTTACGGTACTTGCTGAGTGACGAATCGTGACGAATAGAGCTTACGCAAAAAAGCAATGGAGATGGATTTCTGTGTAGTAATCTGTGTCTCAACCTTTTGAGAAAGGGATGAGAATGCCTCATCAATAAAGCCTGGATCACACTTGAATGAGGAATATATATTTTTTGCTGTAATGTTGTGTGTAATTCATCACTTGAGGCACATCTTGGTCTTTTTTTCTGAAATTGAAGGATCATTTTCATGTGCTGGACATGGTCTCATGGTCTGTTCTTCTGTTTAATTCCTTGTCATGTGCTGTTAATGTTGATGGGTCAGAATGTACAGGTGAACCAGATGGAAAAACATATTTTTTGAGTCGACATGTGTTGTTGGATAAAGGAGACAAGATATAATCAGTTGATTGGAAATGCTCAGAGGCGGCGGAACAGGGGGGGGCTAGGGGGGCTAAAGCCCCCCAGAAGTAAAATTGGGGGGGGCTTAGCCCCCCCAGAAAATTCTGTTTTTTCTGGAAAAATTTTGATAATTAAGGAAAAATTTAGGGTATTTTTTGAAAATTTAGGTATAAGGGGAAAAGTTTGTTTTTGTTTTAGGCCCGAAAAAAATTTTGTCGTCCCTTTTCATGTATATGTCCGGAAAATTTTTTTTACCTCTAAAATGATACGCTAACCGAAATTTTTTTGGCGACGGGGGGGGGGCAAAATAAAATCTGTTCCGCCGCCCATGGAAATGCTTGCTGCATATACAAATGTACTGGTTGACTTGTCATGGATTTTTATTAACTTTTTGAACATTATTCTCCCAACATTTTTGTAAAGCATTATTTTTCAAAGTAAATCCATAACAATAATTATAATTATTATGTAAATTCAGCTTAATTGTCACCCTTCTGTCTGTCTGCATGTCTTACTTATTTTTGGTTTTTTTTGTTGTTGTAGGTGATGTACACATGCCAAAAGTAAAAAATCGGAAACAAATTTTGCTTCTCGGGAAACAAGAATGTTTCCTACCAAGTTCAGACTAAGATTATAGTTGCGGAAACATTGTCACTCTGTTTGCCCACCTTGGCCGGCTTGGGAACATTGGCAGGAAACAATGTGGATTTTTAGTAAAGTAAACAAAGAATAAATAAATGCCTGTGAAATGTGAATTTTTAGTAAAGTAAACAAAAACTAAATAAATACCTGTGAAATGTGAATTTTTAGTAAAGTAAAATGAATAAATAAATACTTATAATAATAAATAAATAATAATATACTATCTATTTCTTCTTCTTTCTCATTCATGGTTCATAAGGGTTATTATCGTCATGTCTTAAAAAAGGTCGGTCAAAAGTACATATGAAAGATTTCTATTTTTCCACACTCAGGGACAAAACTAGGTTTAAATTAACTTCTTTGCATTCTGCTCACCTGGCATTTCGAAAAACAAAACAAATAACGTAAGTGTAAATTCTAAATAAAAACTAGGCATAGTTTTCAAGAAATTTCATTAAAAAGACAAGGTTTATTCAATAAAAAACATCTTTCGGCAGCGACATGACTGATATTTTACAATAAAACAATTCATCAAATCAAATTAATGCTTGTGTTTTGGCCGCGCGTATTTATCGAGCGAAAGGACTTGGTTCTAACCGGAAATCGCGGCTTCAAACATCCGGCTGTACGTAGCGTTCCATATATTTTAGTTCAATGACATTTAATCACTAATCGCCCTGAATGCCATGCTATTACTTATAATAAACATTTGATACTAGCCAAACAGATAAATTTTTGTCAGTGATTTATCTTTAAAATTTTGGATTTAGTACATAATTCGTATTCGGTAATTATATTAATCATAATTATCTATTAATCATAATATTTTGCTAATATACTAATTCTATATCACAAATTTACAGTGTAACACGCGCACAGACTGTCATTTGAATAAACATAAATTTTCGATTTTTCTACTCCTGCTAACATTTTTAAAGTTTTCATTGTGAATCATCTGTTTATCTCTAATTTATTAGTCATTATGCTCTAAAAAATAAGGCTCTCAAATATATTTGTATATTTATTTCATAGTGTCATAGACATAGTGATACATGCATGCATTTTATACAAGCAATCCTGGATATCATAGGGACGATACAAGATATTCTATTCCACAAAGCAAAAAATTTAAATCTCACTTGTATTATCAAGAATATTATAAAAGGCAAAAAATTTAAACTTCTGGCAAAACAAAAGCCGTTTATAAAATTTATAAATGTGGTAAACCCTGGTTGTTTACCATTTACATGGAAATTCCGGTGATTCCATACGGAAAGTAAATGGAACAAGCATATTTCGACAACCCAACCGGAACTTTTCCGGAATAAACGGTTTGTTTGAAAAGGTTGTCCTCTCTGACCGATTGGAAAGTTTCAAACGGTAAATGTTGTACCATTTACATTTTTAAAATTTTTTCACCAGTTCCAGGCTCTTCGCGATTTAACAATTGAAATTATTAAATGGAAAGCGAATAATCCGAATGGGATTTTCTATCCGAAATTTTGCTTACCATTAGCACAATTTCAAACCGGATGGGTTTTACATGTAAATGGTAAACACCCCCTATAGCCTACTATTAATTATAAATAAAAGTGCTCATTGAAATACCTGATATAATATACTGTCGTTTGACTTATCTTTGTCTTTGATGTACGATTTTAATACCGTAGATTTTCAACAGACAGCTAGACTTTAACATATACCATGATATCGATCGTTAAGTTTCAGTAATGACAAGGGCCAATGCAGGAAATTTTATGGTCTTTTGACGGGCTTTAAAGTGCCTATATCAGGGTTTTGGAGTTTGCATATCTCGAACGTTTAGGGTATTTTAAGACACTTTGCAATATATTTTGTTATTAAAAATTGCATCTTGATGGATTTATTAGCTCTTAAAGTTACCGGACATGACGTCAAAAGGAGAATTGCAAATCAGTTTTCCTTTGTATCATTGCAACAAAATTCTCCTTTTGACGTCATGTCCGGTAACTTTAAGAGCTAATAAATCCGTCAAGATGAAATTTTTCAATAACAAAATATATCGCAAAGTGTCTTAAAATACCCTAAACTTTCGAGATATGCAAACTCCAAAACCATGATATAGGCACTTTAATTTAAACATTTTTCTTTGAATTATGTATTTGTTCATACAAATAGAAGTTACCCTAAATTCCCATGTGCAGAAGACCTTGTATTTTCACGCATTCATTAATTCGAGAAATTATACGTCTGTCAAATTACTACAATAGATTACGGTTAATTTGAATTTGAAAGGGCGTACATTTTTTTGATACACCTGCATGTAGAAACATGTCATTATTTGATGGGTATTGTAGATGGAAATTGCCGAGTGGAAATTTATATACATTTATTAAACCTAACCAGGAACAGCTCTGTGAAAAATGCAACTTTAGGTTCCTGGCAGGAACCTGTGCATGGCCCTGCGATTCCAGTGTACTCTAACCAACTATTGCGGCCGCTACAGAGGCCAGTTGTCGAGCTCTAACCACAAGTTCATGTATATATACTGGGGTACTGCTATGTATAAGTTATGGGTAAATATCAAGATTATGTGGCTTTCTTTATAATTTCAAAACGTGAAGTTCTGTTGGTATTTTTCACTTGGCGGCTAGAACAGACAAAATAAAGTCATCTCCGAGTACTATTACCTCTTTTCCGTAGAAATGAGAAGAGCCCAAGAACGATCCTCGTGAACCAGTGAAAGAAAACATGGGCAGTGCAACTGGAATGGGGACATTGACTCCGATCTGAAACATAATAGAGATTTTAGCTACGAATGGAATTGGAGTGCTGGTGACCTGCGTAGGGGTTGGGGTGCGGGCAGCAAAAATTAGGGAGGCGAGGCGTGGGAAAGGCATTTTAGCGTGCCACTACCAAAAAACATACGTTTCCTCCCGTAGTAACACTGGACCGATAAGAAAGAGGTGGCCTTTACTAGATATCCAGACTAGTACAATACAAAACATACTCCATTACTCCCAACCATCTTGTGCTCTCAAGATAGAATACACGATATGCGGTGATATTTCGGCTTTATTTGAAAATCATTGTCAAGGTTCTGGACAAGTACTGGACACGAGTACTTTTGCAAATGTTAAAACTTACTTGGCCAACGTTCACGTCATTTTGAAATCTCCTCGCTACGGCACCAGACGAAGTGAAGATGGCAGTACCGTTACCATATTCATTGTTGTTGATTATTTCGACCGCCTAAAATTGATCAAACTCGTGAATATTTAAAATGCAAAGAGTACACGCATGTACATGAATGGATCTAATGAGATGACGCATGTTACCGGCCCGTTGGTCATCCAATTCATTCACAATTATAACGTAAATGCTTGGTTAGCTTTGTCTAACTATACTAACTATCAGACCAGCAGTGACTAGGCATGTGAGATAGCTGCGTAGTCGGTTGTACGAAGATATAGAATTTATCAATTCCCTAAAATTGTCCGTTGATTTGTATTAACCAGGGGCCGGTTGTATCAAGCCCGTGGATAAGTCAAAATTAAATAACACTCTTTTCTCTCTCGTGAATCAGTCAACTTAAATATTGTGCACTAAATATGTAGTTGTAAACATTATCGTTCTATTAAGGTTCAAAACTTTTAGTTTGGTTGTTGAATGAAACTATAGACTTGCTTTCTATTGCTTGCTTGATACAACCGGCCCCAGGTTAAACTGAAGATTCAAGGTGTACTTAGTCTTTAACATAAAGTACATAAAGGACAGTTTTCTAAAATATATTTAAGAATGAAATAGAATTGCATATATAGAACTCTAAAATAGACCTTTCTTAAAACTCTGGCGTCAGCAAGCACAAATTATTTTGTGACGTCACAAAATAATTTATGCATGCTGACGCCAGACTTAAAAGAAATACCTATTAGGGAACTTAGCAAGCGACGTTTTTGTCAACAAGGACGTCAGATTACCGAGAGGGGACTGGAATAAAAACTATGTTTGTGTCAGTTTGTAGTAATCTTCAACACATGTGACAAAACATAAGATTAAAATATTTTTTTTGCTTTCTTAGACAGCGATACGAGGCTCTCTCCTCCGCAGAGGCTTTAGTTTTCTTAGTATTTAATATGACGATGAGATACATTTCACTACACTTTACATGGCGGATCTGGGAACACGAGCGTAGCCGCTGGGCGAAGGAGCGCATAGCCAATTAAGCCTCTGCGGAGGAGAGAGGATACGAGGCAAAATGCCGCCAAAATTAGTTATACCAATTTTTGCGTGACGTCCGGTGTTGTCAAAAACGTGACTATTGACTGCAACTATTGACTGCAACGGATTTACCAACTTCCGCAAAATGGAAGTGCGCAGATAAGTAAAGACGCAGTGAAAGTATCACGTAGGTACATACGTCGTACTTGGCTGAGAACGCACGAAGTATTGGCGTACCTCCGGTGCGTAAGACTACGCGAATTGTCGCACCTTGAATTAACAAGCAAGATATGAATAATATTCGTGTTACCTCTTCAAGGTTATCAGCTGTCATCGCCAATAAGACAGGTCCAAATATTTCTTCTTTGTAACATTTCATGTTTGGCTAAAAATTTACAGTTTGCATATAATACTTATGTTAGGTACTGTACTGTACACACGTAAAAAATCTCACAACTTGTCAACAAGATGTGTTCGCAACAGGCTTGTGGCAAGCTTGTCAAGTTGTAACAATGCTGTTAATTTATCAAGTTGCTACAAGGTTGTCAGTGTTGTCACTGACAACTTGTTTACAAATAACAAATTGTTGAATTGCAGGACGATAACAAGTTGTTGGAACAACTTGTAACAAGTCTGTTGAACTCAACAACCTTGTAGCAAGCCGTTGACAACTTGTCAACAAGTTGGGAACAAGCAGTGCGAACACATCCTGTTGACAAGTTGTTGAAACAGCATTGCTACAAGTCTGCTGCAAGTTTGTTACAACTTGTGCGTTTTTACGTGTGTAGCAAGGAACGGTGTGCCGACCTCTGATTGGGATAAATTCAGGGGCCAAATCGAAATGGCTTCAATTTTTAGATTTCAATACATTGTATTCAACGATACGATGAGCTTTCACCAACCTTAACACCAGATATCACAGTTGGGCCAACAAAATTGCCTTTTTCGTAACCCTCGACTTTTACACCTCGCCCATCTAAATCGATCTAAAAATGAAAGCAAACAAAGGGTGCTTTCCATTAAAGGGGCAGTGTCACGGCGCTGATTGGCTAAAATAAACGGCGCAAAGAAACGTTTAAAATTAATGCTACATGATTGGAAAAGATGCAGCAGCCTTCAATTTTTAAAACAACGCAAGGATGTCCTGCATAATGAAGCGATTATAAATAGTATAGTATATCGTATTTCACTCCTAACTTGATTAATTGTTGGCAGACAGTTTTTCAAGTTCGCGCATATTTTGGATGCGCAGCAGAACCGTGACACTGCTCCTTTAATACGGTCAGTTTGATCAAATTATTGAATAGAATGGTCTGTGCCAGTGTTGTGAGCGACGATAAGACGACAGCTGCGGTTCAAGAGAAATACAACTGCGTAAAAAATATAAGCGAAGGCCCTTCAGTCGAGAAGTTAATAACGAAGAAGGTCGAAGTTCTGCTTCTATATTTTTCATGCTAGTTGTATCTTTCTCAATCCAAAACTGATGGAATACAAAACGTTTGGCCTTCGGACCGTTCTGACTGGAAAATTTTGACCAACTTACAAGCAGGTCCTTTTTTTAATAGCCAGATTTTCAAAATCCCTGGACAAAAATAAATCTCTGTCAATAGAGACAGAAATTCTGGTCTGGACATTGAATGGCTGCAAATTCGGACATTGCATAGAAACAAATATTGTAATACTTTATTTACTGAATTATTCATTTACCGTGGCTCCTTCGTCTGCACCAGACTGAACCAAGTCACACACACGATCTTTGGCCTGGGGAGAGATCAATGGACCCAGGTCAGCATCAGGTTGATGTCCTACACAAAAGAAATAAACGCTATCATACAAGCACAGTATAGACACAGAGCTTCGACTCCTTGTCCGTACCTTTGATGTCAGCGTAATCTCCGCCATTGCATGGTCCTAGCCAGTGCACCAAGGAGAGGCTGTAAATCCCACAGAAAACATTGAAAATGCAGAGCATTCAGAGGGGTGAGTGCCTCTTGTTAGCACACTGGCTAGGAACCTGGTGACTGCAGTTATTTGCTGAGTTGGGTCTGTTAAGTATATATTCTGAATATGAGATTCAGTTTCATCAGTTCCTAAGCTTTATGTTAATAGTCCTTTGCAATCGAGGCCACGTTGGTTGATTTTTAAAACACACTTATAACTGTACTACATTCTATAATGCGCAGATTATATCAAGCCAGAGACCACAAAGCTATCCACAATATGGTTACCCATTGGTAAACCAAACCAATAAACAAGCTAAGGTAAACTCACAGATCAACCAAGATGGCGCCCAGTGCGTGACATAGTGACCTATGTGCAAACAAAAAATGAACCTACCTGCATTTACTTTCAGTTTCTTTGCACGCTCAACAAATTCTGGGATCCAGTCTTTAGATTCACCCACAAATATCGCAGTGGACAGTGCCATACACCGCTGACCAGCGGCACCGAAAGCTGCTCCGACAAGCTACAGGACCAAAAATCAAAAGGTTGGAATTTAGTTGAAATCATTCGTTGAAACTTGCTGAACAGTTAGTGGTGGTTCAGAATTTTTAAATATTACCTGATTAAGAGCATGATCTTTATTTGCATCAGGCATTATGACACCATGGTTTTTTGCACCCTGGAATATATTGAAACATTTGAACAGTCAATTCTTGTGATCTGACAGCTGAAAAAATGGGTTAAATTTTAAAAGAATTGTGACCGAAAAAGACTCACCATATTTGATTGAACTCTTTTCCGATTTTGAGAACCACGATCATATATATACTTTCCCTATGAAGAACACATTTAATTTTAAACTTTTTCCACATAGAATCCGCCATATCTCATTTTTAAACAAGGATTACCAGGGTGAAATACTTACAGCTTGATCAGAACCAACAAAAGAGATTGCCTGAATGCTTGGATCGTCACAAATGAAATTCACCGCTTCGTGCGCACCATGAATTACGTTCAACACACCATCAGGCAGCCCAGCATCTTGTGCGAGCTTTGCAAGCAACATGGTTGCACCAGGAACACGTTCAGATGGTTTCATGACAAACGTATTACCACAGACCACAGCCAGTGGAAACATCTTAAATAATTGCAATGTTAAGTTAATGATGTTATATTAAATAAATAGTAATTATTTAAGCAGTAAGTGTAAATTAAGCCATATTTTACAGGCTGCAACTTGCAATGCAATTTCAGATACAGATAAGCATGGTACACATTCTACTTTGCCCACCAAAAATGAAAGAAATGGAATGAAACACATATACAAAGCCATCATTTAATCTCAGACTCAATCAAATTC